CAACCACCTAATGACTCTGTCAATGTGATCCCTGTTGTACATCAAATGTACAATCCCTCTATTCCAATATCTTCTGCTCCTCCGGTCCTTCCCAACATGAACCAAGCAGTTGTCATTGTTCACAGAAGTGGCGCTTCCCCACCACTAAAACCATCCATGGACGATGACGATAACATGATGGATATAACGCATCCATCAGAGGCTTCGATCTTTCCATCTCCTCCCATCTTGACAAACAACCTCTCTGTAGTGAACCAGGCCCATCCTGCTCCTGCCCATGTGCTACAGAGTGACACTATTTCTAGCAATCAGGACTCCTACAATCAGTTTATGCAATGCCAGCACATGCAGGGGCCAAGTCCAAATACTGGCCATGCATCTAGTGCTGGTGCCCTTCCACACCCCACTCTTGGGGTTTTCAGTGGGCAACCTGACAATAATTTCTCTCTGAGCCAACCAGTCCCCTTACAAGCACCAGTTGTTGACCTAACTGTGCCTACAATGCAACCACCTAATGACTCCGTCAATGTGATCCCTGTTGTACATCAAATGTACAATCCCTCTATTCCGATAACTTCTGCTCCTCCGGTCCTTCCCAACATGGACCAAGCAGTTGTCATTGTTCACAGAAGTGGCTCTTCCCCACCACTAAAACCATCCATGGACGATGACGATAACATGATGGATATAACGCATCCGTCAGAGGCTTCGATCTTTCCATCTCCAACCGTCTTGACAAACCTCTCTGTAGTGAACCAGTACCATTCTGCTCCTGCCCATGTGCCACACGGTGGCATTATTTCCAGCATCCAAGACTCCCACAGTCAATTTATACAATCCCAGCACATGCCGGGGCCAGGCCCACACACTGGCTATCCATCTAGTGCTGGTGCCCTTCCAAACCCGACAGTCGGGGTCTTCAATGGACAACCTGACAGTTTGTCTCTGAGCCAACTAGTACCTTTGCAAGCACCAATTATTGACCTAAGTGTGCCTACAATGCAACCACCTAATGACACCAACATGCAAACAGGACATATGGCCATGTCCATGCCTGTGCCTACAGTGAACCCTGCCATTACTCCCCAGCACACCTCTGGTAACGACTCACACAGTGTTCTTAATAATACCAGACGGAAGAAAACTGGCAAGAAAATCTCCAGACAAACCGGCTCTCGTGACCCTAATTCATCCCTGAACCAAGCCATTCCTGCAACCTCTGCCACAATGGCAAACGGTGACTCATCAAATACAGGACACTTAAGATTTAAAAAATCCACCAAACGCTCACTTTCCAACTCTGAAGCACCTACAGGCTGCCAAAGGCAGAAATTTTAAATGTAGAAGATCAAACTCTGTAACAGGACTCAAGAGACAGGTCCAGCTTTCTAATAAGACTGAAAGTTTATTTTACTTTCTCTTAACACAAGTCTTCTCTACCTACAGCTTGATTGCTTTAGTAGGATGTTCCAGTGGAGACTCATTAGTCATCTTCTCTTGCTTGAAAACTAGCTTGACTCAGCAAAGAGCTGGACCATGTTTCAGAAGTCCTAGATCCTGAAAGATGAAAAGCTGTTTCCTCACAAGTGGTACTTATTGCATTATTCATTGCACTACCACTATCTTTCCTTATTTCAAATAAAGCCCCCATCTTTATTAATAAATACAATTTAAGATGAATTCATCAAAATTAAATGATTTGTCCATCTTTTCTTTTGTTGATGGGTTCCATAGGTTTGGGTGTGAATCAGAAGTATAATAAAGGGTCTATTTAAATAAACAGTTTGCAGAGAATGCAAATAGCCATAGAAAGAGCTTTAGATTAAATGTAAAAGTCAACATTCAACCGAAGTATGAGGATTCCTGACTCCCCTTAAATCCAATTTTTTAGGAGGTGCAAGGGAATTGGTTCCCCAGAGCTATGATATCCATGAATATCACTGGATATGCCCCAAACCTGTTTGGTTGTCTGTCTGGCCTCATTTGGTGGCACTACGATGTCCTCGTGACAACATCATGCAGTCAGGACATGTGGCCACAACATCACCTGTGCCTGCAGTGAACCCTGCCATTACTCCCCAGCAGGCCTGCTGTAGTGACTCACATAGTGTTTTCACACTGCCACACTTGTGAAAACTGGCACAAAAACTCCAGCCTAGCAGGCTCTGGTGATCCTAATTCCTCACTGAACCACGTTATGCTTGCAGTATCACCCACAATGGGAGACGAAGTAACTTGAAGTAAGTACAAAGGTTTGAATTCAGGGGTCTTCATCCTTGCTTGATTGATTGGCCGGTGGTCTACCACTTGAGCCATGTCTCCAGTCCAGCTTTTTGATGTTTAATTGGAGTTAGAATGTCTTAACTTATCTGTCTGGGTGGGCCTTGAAGTATGATCTTCTGCATCTTCCTTTCTGGAACAGGTAAGATTACCACCAGGAGCCTCCTGTACCCCATTTGTAGGAATTCTTCATAGTGCTCCCTATTCTGTCTTCACATTTTTTATTTAGTTTTATTTAGTTTTGGTTGTTGTGGGGCCTGAACTCTGGGCCTGGCACTGTCCCTTAGCTCTTTAGCTCAAGGCTAGCTCTCTGCTACTTGAGCCAGAGCTCCACTTCTGGCTTTTTCAGTTTATGTGGTGCTGAGGAATAAAACCCAGGGCCTCAGCTGTGCAAGGCAAGCACTCTACCACTGAGCCACCTTCTCAGCCCTGTTTTCACAATTTTAAATGACATTAGTTTCAGAACTTAAAAACATTTGCATTTCCCAATACCAGTACATGCATAAAAAAATTGAATGTAAGTTATACCATCTCAAATCTGCATTCCTTGAATCAAACCAGAGGATAGACTTATATTTAGAAAGGAAATATTTGTGAATGATAAAGTATTCCATCCTCTCAATTGCTGTGTAGTATGATTTTTACCAGGTATAATAATATAAAACAAAAATGATACAATTTTAAATAATTCCAACAAAATAATGCAGGTTTTACAAGGGAAGTTAGTGAATAAGGAAACATGGATGCAATAGGAGAGAGCTATTGAGGTTTGAACATCAGCTTTGGGCTGGGAATATAAGTATGTAGATATCTTCGTTTGTAAGTAAACAAACGTTTCTTGTCATTCAAACAAAAAAAAATGAGTCAACATAAAGATAGAGGTGTTTACCAAACATTTTGGGATTTTGGACCCCCAAGGAGAAAGCTGTTACTGGCTCTGAGTTTTCTGCTTGCTTTTGTGGAGTCAGGGAGTTGAAAAAATCGTGGGATCCTGAGTAGGTCTAGTTCCTTTCCTCCGAGTTCCATAAAGTACTACTTTATGGGTGGAATCCAGTAAGCCTTCCTGATGGCAGGGATTTGTGAGCATCTGAAATACCTCAGGCTCTCAGTCCCTGTGTCTTGAGGCATCAGGCTCAGTTCCCTGTAGAAGACATCATTAAGTGACAATGTAAAGAGCTACACAGAATCCAGGACTCTCCAGTGTCTAGTAACGGGTACTGAATGCTAAATCCATTGAAGACCCTGAGTTCTGTACTTTAAAATTAGTAACTATACAAAATTAAAGGTGCAAGTAGGCTTTAAAATTCAGTCAGGGATCCATAAAGTATAATACTAGCCACTTGGGAAACAGATATTAAGGGACTGTAATTCAAAGCCAGCCTGAGCATAGAAATACATAATACTCCCATCTCAACAATAAATGGGTGAGGTGGTGTAAGCCTGTTATCCCAAACTACGGAGAAAGCACTCTGGCTGGGCACAATGGCACTTGCTTTTCAGCCTAGTGACAAAAGGAAATACAGGAGAATAACAATCCAGGCTGGTCATAAAATCAGACACTCCCAAAATTAATCCAAACCAACAAACTGTTTATCAAAATAACTACCAGGAGGTTCAGTGGTGTTAGGGTGAGTGGTAATTAAGGAATAAAGGGAGAAAGTGAAAATTTACACACACATGCGTGCGTACACTCACACACACACACACACACACACACACCCAAGCCAAGAATGTGCTAGAGGCATTGTTCAAATGGTACTTGCCTAGGAAATGTGAGACTTGAGCTGAATCGCAATACTAGAATGGTGAGGGAGAGAGAGAGAGAGAGAGAGAGAGAGAGAGAGAGAGAGAGAGAGAGAGAGAGAGAGAGAGAATTCGTTAACTATAGAAACAAGAAGAAGAAAAGAAAAATGAGAAGAACAAGAAGCAGCAGCAAAAAGGAATAAAAGAAATAAAGAATGGGCTTAGGATAGATTATACTTAAAGATCTTTGGAAGGGAATCATTAAAAAATGCCCTGTTCCATAATAATTTTCTCCCAGATCCTCAATGTGTCCCTTCTGTTCTTCATTTTTTCTCATATTGACACACAGGTAATGACAACAGTGAATCTTTAAAATGATTTCAAAGAATACTTTTGGACAATGTTCATGAGGCCTAGTTCAATATCACGATTCCACACCCTGTTCTCTGTATTACCTGTTGGGCTGGAGGTAAAACCACAAAATCTAACTTAATGCACCTGCCTATGTCAGTTACTCAGTCAACACAAACCCAGAGTACTTCTTCCAGGAGCTCCAGGAGAAGGATCAGGGAGACTACACAGAAGGCAGATAGGCAGATAGAGGGAGGGATATCAAGGCAAGTGACTATTTTGCTTTTCTTTCCTACTGGTTTTGTCTAGTAATTGTGAATATTCAAAATTAATTAGCACAGAAAAGGTGACTCTGTGCTGTTCCTCTGCATGATATGATAGCATTCTGGGAGTAGGAGAAGGGAGCAAGAGGAGAAAAAGGGGGAACAGGACAAGAATGTTCAGCCAAAGGGAAAGGAGGAGGAGAAAATGGAGGAATGGAGGAAGGAAGGAAGAAAGGAAGGAAGGAAGAATGGAAGGAAAGAAGGAAGGAAGGAAGGAGACAATGGTTCTTTTTAAGAGCTATAAGATGCCAGGAGCCAGTGGGTCATGCTTTGAATACTAGCAGGATCACTGTTCAAAACGAACCCAGGCAGGAAATTCCCTAAGACTTTTAACTCCAGTTAGCCACACAAATCTGGAAGTGGAGCTGTCACTCAAGTGGTAGATCACTAGCCTTGAGGAGAAAAGCTCAAGGACAGAGCCACACTCAACAAATACAGGGGGGAAAAAAGCTGTAAGTGATTATGTAGCTTCAGACTTCATTGAAGAGAACACCATGAGACAAGTTTAAAACACTTAGACCTGTTATGGTGAACATGTTTTAATATAATAACAACACTAGCCAGTTCTGCTGCAATCACCAAAGTTCTCTTTAAGATTAGCACAATGATTTAGCTCAGCTAGTGTTTTGCATTCTATGGAAAGAAATTTGAAAATGAGCTTATTCTGTTTAAACACAATGGGCATAAACTCAGGCAAGCAAACAATAGTAGATTTCCTTTGACTTTCTGAGAGACCAAAGACATTCCAAAGGCTGAAAATGTTCTCGGAAAGAAGTCATTTTTCCACTGTGTCACAATTGAAGCATTGTAAGTAGTACATTATCCTGTGTGCTACAGACTGTGTTGAATAAGACAAAAGGATTCTCATATAATCCGTTTTGATGGTTTAGCTTAAGGGCTAAGAAGTGCTTCTCTGTACTTCATCCTCTGGGAGTTTTTGAGAATCGGAATATTTCACCTAACAGGTTAATTAACAGAGAACTATTTCCACCTTAAGTACACACAGTTGCCAATTTGCTTGAAGAGAAATGAGCTGTTTATTTGCTCTCATGATTTTTTAGTGAGAATATCAGAGCTGCGTTAGGAGATTTTGATGGATAGAAGTTTTATAGTACCAGTACTCCATGGGTTTGAACGTGTCAAACCAACTAGTGGTTAAGAAAATCCAGAAAGGAAAAGTCTGAACCTAGGAGAATTGGGGCAAGGGTATTCTGTGCGTTATATGCATATGTCAGGCAAGTTAAAATGTACCTTCATCTTTTTCAAATTAGAAAGCAACAACATGCATCCCACATTGTCTTTAAATTTTACAGAGGTGATAGACGGTTCTCACTTTTTATTAGAAAGAATCAAATAGCATACGGCACTGGTGTCTCTCGTCTTTTGTCAGTTTCTAGTCACCCCATTGATTTGAAATGTGATGGTGAACTTTCTCAAACTCTGCTCTATGTATGGTTCCATGATGTCTGAGGGATAGAAATAGCCATGGAGAAACTGGTAAAACAAGCAGAGTTTGCATCCATCTTGTGATGCCACGGTTTCAACTAACACTCTCTCAGCTCCTGGCTGGCTCTCTACTACTTGAACCATTCCCCAAGTCTGGCTTTTAGATGGTGAATTGGAAGTAGACACTTGTAGACTTGTCTGTGTAGGCTAGCTTGGAACTGTAATTTTCCTGAGCAGCTAGGATGAAAGGCAAGATCCACTGCCACCTGGCTTGTCCCACACTTTCCTTCCCTCCATAGTCAAACCTGCAGAGCGCTTGTGTCTGATGGAAGAGTTTTCAGGCTTTGATTCTGGTTGTTGGCTGATCTGTGACCTGAGAACAAGTAATTCCTCTAAGTGCTAGCAGAACCACATTTTCCCCCTCTTTCCCAAAAAGATGAAACATATAAACCATTTTGAGTACATGTCATCCTTAATTTGACCTCCATTTTAAGATATACTTATGTGTCACCAATTTATGTCATACCTTTTGATACTAATACTTCAGAGTCTTCGACAAATGTATTTGTAGCTTAAGAATAATGCATCAGAAATAATACTTTAGAGTTTTGGGCAAGTTTCTAACTTTATATTGGGTCTCTTTAGTCGATTTTCTGCCTGACATTTCCACAGAATGGTGGGGATAATGGTGGCAGAAAACACCCACTGTCACTCTTCAGAATCCTCTAGAACAATACTAGTGAGAATTCTCGAACCCAGTAGCTACCTATTCTGAGGCTACCTAAATTGGTTACTTAAGCTTGATTGTTTTTAATAGGTAGAAGTCTCAGAATATGACCTTAATTCCTGAAATCTTATAATATGTGTGTTGAAGGGTTTTTAGGTAAAGCATTATGCTTGAAAATGCCAAAAAAATCCAGAGAAAGTAGAAAAGAACTAGATGATGGATTTCCTTTCCAAATTATGCACTGAAGTTATACTCTGAAAGAGATATTTGCCTAAGTGCCTTAATATCCTGCAGCGAGGAAAGTGGAGGTACAGTGTTTTCATTGATCTAACAAGACTTGAATTTTACCAACGTTAAGTTCAACATGGGGCATTCATAGCTAGTATTCTTCATCTTCTCACTTTCTTAATGCACCTGTTTGGTGCAGTACTTTGAAGGGAATGGATGATTGTTTTAGAACCAGCACTAAACCTCTAGAGCACAAAACAATTCTTAACTTAACATCTGTCTCTTCAAGTCTTCTTACCCATCCTGTTTAGATATCTTCAATTCCAAATGACTAATTCTTTGTGTATTTAAGTAGCCATACTACACTACTATAAAGAAATTAATACTTCAAACTGTTGTAAATTAATCAAACTTCTCTGACTACAATGTCATTAAAAGAGGAAATAAGTGTGTTATGGAGCATGCTTGTAATCAGAAGTGCCTAGAGGCAGAAATGAGAGAATTTTTGTTTGAAGTTAATCTGTGCAAAAACAGCAGAATACTATCTTAATGAACCAGTCTGTCAGGATTATTCTTGTCTCTAATCCTAGCTATCTGGGAGGTGAAGGTGGAAGTATGGTGGTTCAGGGCTGACTCAGGAAGAAAGTATGAGCCTATATCTAAAAAATAATTGAACAGGTCTGAGAGCATAGCTCAAGTGGTTGAGCACCTGCCTAGCAAACACAAAGCTAGTTCCAACCCCAGGACAGAGGGAGAGAGAGAGAGACAGAGAGAGAAGGGGGGAGGGAGAGAGAAAGAGGGAAGGAGAGAGAGAAAGAGACACAGACACAGACACAGAGAGGAGATATGAGCATCTGTAGAAGAAGCAAACACGAACCAAATTCTATTCTTTTATTCTTTTTCTGACATATGTTCACGCTTCATCTATCATTATAGCTGAAAAAAGTACCTCAGTCTTAGAACCCTGCCTCCTCTCAAATTTTCTTTGAATTAAAAGATTTGAAAAAGGGAGAGATGTAATGTCCTTATAGCCTCCTCCTCAGAAAAGCGAAATCATTGTGTACAAGGTATGTGCAGTGCAGCTAGGGACAGCCAGCGTGGATTTAAACTTAGGGCAGATTATGGAAGAGCTCAGAGTGACATTTACCTGAGTGAAACCACAGTGCTTCCCTGAAACAACTTTCTACATTAATGGGACAAAGATCTTCCTCATTTTATTTAGTGGAACTACATAAGGGAATAAGAAGCCAGGTGCTGGAGGCTCACATCCACAGCCCTAGCTATTCCAAAAGCTGAGATCTGAGTATCAAGATTCAAAGCTAGCCCAGCAGAAAAGTCTGTGAGACTCTTCAGTTAGCCAGCAAAAAAAAAAAAAACAAAAAAACAAAGTAAGCCAACCAACAAACACAAAACATGCTTAAAAGTGTGACACAAGTGGTAGAGCAATAGCTTTAAGGGGAAAAAAGCCAAGAGAGAGTATTAGAACCTTCGTTCAAGTCCTAGTATTAGCACAAATACAATATAGCTACAGCAAAGTGGGTATATGGAGGAGTAAGCAAGATGGAAGAAACAAGCAATATATAAGCCAGATGAAGGTCTTTTTGTTTGTTTCCCAAACTGTTGAGCAAACGAATACATTAAAGGTAGATATTAATAATGCATTTTTATATTAGGATGGATCGGAGTGATGTACAGAAGGGTGTAAAGATACGACTTACAGGGTTGTTGCGATTGAGGGGAAAAATAAGACTCTAAACTCTGCTATTAGAAATGAAAGTAAAATCTTGGCTAGCTGAGATCAATCTCTGCAGGAGAAGACCATCCTTTTGTAGTGGTCACAGCAGCCCTCTGTATTCTGGTGAGTGATGGAGAATGAATCAGGGGCAGCTTAAGAGACTGCCATCAGCCTGCAGGCAAGGCTTAAAAGTATTGAGGGATTTGTGGCTGTTCCCAGACCCACATCTCACTGACATCTCTGGGAAGAAAATGGGTGGTAAAGCAATTAATGACAACAATGCTGCAATACTCATACAGGTGTATTTCTCACAGGAAAGAAATGGGATGCACTGAAAAGCATATAGATATGAGTTAGGAGTACCTACAAAAATGAAGAACAAATTACTTCTTGGAAGAATTGTCAAAAATTTAGGCTTTTGTCCTAGTGACAATTGGATGTTAGACTTCTGATTAACACATTTTTTCCTGGGCATTTCCTGGACTATAAATGTTTGCCTTGTGATATCTACTCTCGCTAGGTGACGAGAGGCTGTGGTCTTCTTGGAGATAAAGAGGCAGGAATAAAGGTGGAGAACTTGTAAAAAATATGAGAAAGAAAGTTCCTTTCAATCTAAGCTCTGAAGAAAACATTCCAACACATTATTCACCAAGTTGGGGAAGAAATGTACTTCAAATTGACTATATTTTATATGCCTTATTAGAAACTAGAACTATCTCTAAAAACTGGCATGTATGGCCTTGGACGTTTAGCAGAATACATAAGAATGTAACCGAAAAGCAAGAACATACAAACCAAACACTGGGAGATGAGTTGTAATTGCCTCTCTGTAAATTAAAATTTAGGTTTTACAGGTGGTTAAATATTGGACAGAAAATGTGTTTTGAGGACTCTAGAGATAGATAGCTCTGGTTAACTTTTAAACACAAGGTTTAGAGGACTTGTCTATTAAATCTCTCTGTGAAGATGTCTAAGTATTTAATGAGGAAGAAATTTATAGCTTCTTATTTTGGACGAGAGTGCTTGGTGGGTAAGAAGGTCACATGACTGCTTCATGAACTTACTTGTATTTCTCTGTCTCATCCCACTGTGAAGCCAGAGAGTAGGCCGTGTAATGTGTGGTAAGCATGGGCACTGGTTCATTTTCTCATGCACTGCATTTCTATGACAAATTTTAATTTGCTATATACATCTGTTGGGGTTGTCTTTCTATTAAAGAGAAATTGGGGTGTGTGTGTGTGTGTGTGTGTGTGTGTGAGTATGTATATTTCATTTTTCAGAAGCTGCAAATAACTATGTGAGTCTTATACAAAGGGAATTTAGAGACTATAATTTGAAAATGAAATATAAATTTATTAAGCTTGGGATGCAGCTTCTAGCAGCTATAGTTTAAAAAATACAAATGTAGATCTACTCTGTTTGGAGAAGGGTTGACTATACTTTTTCTGAAGCTAATATTAATGTTCCAGAGGATAAAACACACTTAATTGGGAGTTTGGGTACTCTGTGTGTGTGTGTGTGAGAGAGAGAGAGAGAGAGAGAGGGAGAGAGAGAAAGAGAGAGAGAGAATGTTCCTGTACCTATGTGTATGTGAAAGTCACTCAGAAAGAGAAACAGATAAGATAGGAAAATTCCTTTGTTTGATTTTTAATATAAAAAGTCCATGCCTTAGTAGTAATATTTATAGTTTGTTTATAATATAAAAAGTCCATGTATTTGCAGTAAGATTTATTTGTTTCCAGTAAGATTCATTTGTTTCCAGTTAGTGGACCAATTGTCAGATATTGAAAAGAAGGCTTTTCCCCCCATTTTGGAATATAAGATTACACAGCTCACCAAAAATGTGCATGTAAATTTACATTAAGGTTCCAGATAGTGATTATGAATTATTATTAAATCTCTGGCAATAACTTTCACAAATATCTGCTTTTCTATGGTTGAAGCAATGCTTTATCGAATACCCTGAGAATACTGCAATCAGCAAAGTATTTGCTTAGGGGAGAGATTTAAACGAGTTGAAGGCTTACTTTAATCTTAGTTGCCTTTCGTTAAGCCAAATAGTGTGTAGCGTTTACCTCAACTGAACTTACTTGGGTTAATTGCTTTGTTTGATTTGCATGTATATAGCATCCTCTAATATCTATGAGAATATAAGGTAGCCACGTTTATTCGTTGTAAAGAAATGGAGGCACAGAGGATATTCTGAGAGGATGGTGCAGGGTGGGGACAATCTGGGAAGGAAAAAAAAAGTAGCTGTCCAAAAAACGATTGACACTACCTCTATATTAAATGTCATTGAAAATGAGAGGTGTTAAGTCTGCCTGGCTTCTCTTTACTTCCTGAGATTTGGGCTATAAGGAGGCCATGAATTTGGGCATCTGTTCACATCTTAGGGTGGGTGGGCACCAAGAGAAGGCTCACCAGCTTGAGGGGGCCTGGGTGAGTGGAAGAGCTAACAGTACCTCCACCAGCTGAACTTCCAGGTGAGGTAGAAAGAGGCTCCTTGTATGGCTGAGGTGGGAGCCTAATGCATAACCACTCCTGCCCTCTTCCTCCTCCTCATTCTAAGTAAGTGGGATGTTTGCTAGTCATGTAAACAATGCCTTATAACACAAAAAGAACACACCGACCTCAGATTTCATTCCAGATTCCCTTTAGCAATGCATGGGCTATTATCATTTTAAGAAAATGTAGTTCCGTAATGCATGTAATATCATTTTTGTTTATGAATATTTCTACTTTCTGTCTTATTTTTTATTTTTTTAATTTTAATTATCACTAAGGTAATGTATAGATTACCATTTCATAAGTCAGGTAATGAGGACATTTCTTCCTGAGCAATGTCACCCCTTCCTTTACTCTCTCCCAGCAACCCTCTTATATAAGTCATGTATGTTTACTAGTTTTACTGACCTTAGCTAATAAAATTATATGTGGTACAATTCATTATCTTTTAACTTCACTTACATTCTTCAAACTCTCAGGTCTGAATTTTAAATTAACTACTATTTTATAAAATACCCTTTTCTTTCAGAGACCTCTAGATTTTCAGTATGTTTGTTTAGTGCATTGTGTTATAGTCATATGTAATGTGAACTTCATAGCTTCTCGATTGAAATTTATTTTTAATGTATGACTTACTTCATCATGTATTTGCATTATGATTATATCCTCAGCCTCCTAACACTTGATTTTACTTCTTGCATTATGCTAAGCATTTTGTAATGTGAATATTACTCATAAAACAGTGCCTAGTGCCTTACCTGCCTACCTATCCAGCTATCTTTTCTTACAAATTTAATTTATTCTATTTGTTTTATTGCAGCCAGATACCAATCTGGCTTCACAAAAGTACATCCACGGGAACTGAAAACACCAGGGAATTCTGCGTGCCAAATCTTTGGAGGTTCAATTAAAATTAGAAAAGACAGTGTTTAGATTTGAATAAATGTTCAGCCACCCAGCCATTGTAATGACCTCTGGATGTCCTATTCTTGGGATGTAGATTATGATGGTGTAAATGTGACAGGCTGTCTAGATGTCAGCCATGAAAATATTATGTGTAACATAAAAAGTTAAGTCACACAGCATTTCAGTAGATGACTACTTGCTTCCTACTACTTTTTTTTTTTTATTATTATTTTGCTTATGTGGTGCTGAGGAATCGAACCCAGGGCCTCATGCATGCAAGGCAAGCGCTCTACCACTGAGCCACCTACCCAGCCCCTTATTATTATTATTATTTTCAGTCGTGGGGCCTGAACTCTGGGTCTGGGAAGTGTCCCTCAGTTCTTCAGCTCAAGGCTAGAACTCTACCACTGGAGCCACAGCACCACTTCTGGCTTTTTCTGCTTATGTGGTGCTGAGGAATCGAACCCAGGGCCTCATGCATGCAAGGCAAGCACTCTGCCACTGAGCCACCTTCCCAGCCCCCTACTATTTTATTATGTACTGCTAGGTATATACTTTTCATTATTATCCCCAAAGTTCTAAACTGGTCTCATATGCTTGGAAGCTACAAGTCTTATGCGGGAGGCAGCAGAGACGTCACTGTCCTGGTTTGCACCAGCCACTGGCTTTCCCGGACATTTGCTGTTGTCTATCATGCTTACTCTCCACAGAGCATCCGCCCTTCCCAGGATCATTTGAAATGTATGGCTACACGTTGATAGTGGGTGATTTCAACTGGCTAGAGGCCTAATTAGTTCCTGTGCAAATTTGAAGGCAATTAAGTTAGTATTTAACATTTGGCCCAACATGAATAATTTGAATCTCTAACATCTTTACCAAAATTGCTCTCTTAAACAGTCTGCTTTGGAATTAAAGCTTCATTTCAAAGAGGAACTTTAAATATTGTTAACCACATATTTTAAATGTGGAGACCAATGAGAAAAGACATGAGAGTGCAATGTGATTTTGGAGGTGAAAGACAATTTTCCATTCCTCCCTGAAGCCCCTTCAGATAGTAAGATACACGTGGGAGACTGGGTGGTGCAGTACAGAGCTTGTGTTTTTTTTTATGTGAATTAAATCAAGTCTCTGAACAAAAGCAGTTTCTGCTTTGCTTGGCGAATAAGTGAGCATGAAAGTATGTAGCAGAGTGAATACTACTAAACAAATACTAGATACAATGAAAGTAATCAAATTAATATTTTTTGTCATAGACATCAACTTTGGGACTTCAATAGACATTATCAGAAATCAAGTTAGATAGTTTATGTAATGGCTATAAGTCAAATTAGAAACATCCATTTTAGAGATTACAATTGTTCTAATAATTAAATTTGTTTTTGCTCTTTTCTTTAAAACATTTTGTAGTATATAGAAAAATGTTAGAAAACTTAATTCTTTTTAGTTACAATACAAAGACCAAACAATTGAGCTTCTATTGAAGACCCCATTTCTTATAACTTCTACACAAGATTACACAGAGTTAATTACTACTACACATGCAATATAATATTTTAAAAACTTTACTATGTTTGCTACATTAATGTACACAATTCAAAATTCCTGTCGTTAGATCTTTAAACCAAATATAATTTATCACAAGCAACACTAAATGATAAATGTCCAATATCCACCATTGCTTTAAGTTTATCTGTACATCCTCATGTGGCCTGGTATCTATACACAGAAAACACAACAACTTAATCTGAATTTCAGACTTCTCTAGACACCAAAACCATATTTCAGATTTACATCAATCCTTCACGCAAGCCAGAACATAAGACACAAAACAAGATTCGACTATCATCTTTCTCACACTGGAAAGTAAAAGAAAAGTGGCATGATTTGAATAAAATCTGAGCTTGAAATAGAAGCTAGGCCTCAGTGCATGGGAAACTCCAGTGTAAAAACTATCAATGGAACTAGGAGCACAAGAGTGCTTGTTTAGCACACTGAAGAACTGACAGAAATGTGGCCATGGCTCTACCTACATCATCTGGCTGGGGAGAGCCTTCGCACTGGTTTCCACCCTAAGATGTGAAAACCTGCCCAAATCCAGCATCACCCTACGGCTCAAATCTCAGGAAATGAAGATAAACCCAGTCATATTGAGGGCCTTTTGTCTTTTAATGACAGAAGTTTCTAGATGAAATCTAATATTAGGGTAGGAACAATCATTTTTATGCAGTTACATTTTGTCTTACTTTGTATTTACTTATACAGCTTTCTTCTACCCAGTAAAACAAAGATGTCAAGCAGAAGTAGTTACATGCAACTGTGAAGTAAATCCTTCGTAATACCAAATAATGAATGTACTTTTCAAGAATTTATCATGGGAAAGACAGATTTCATTTTTGAGATTCAAAATCTGGGCGAAAAGATTATTGACGTAAAAAATATGGTAATAGGGTTGGTCCCCAAATAAGACTGCAGACAATGCCTGTGGCTAGTGAGTCACACTTGTAATCCTAGCTATCCAGGAGTCTGAGATCAGATCAGAAGTCAGCTGGCGCAGGAAAGTCCGTGATATTCTTATCACAAATAAACCACCAGAAAACCAGAAGTGGAGCAGTGGTTCAAAGTGGTAGAGTGCCAACCTTGAGCAAAAATGCTCAAGGACAGTGCCCAGGCCCTGAGTTCAAGTCCCATGACTAACCAAAAAAATAAAAATAAAAAACGACTACGACAAGCTGTTCTAAGCACATGGAAAAGGAATCACTGAGTATCCACTATGACATTTGTGCAGAGGTATGGACACGGGAGTGCTGGCATAGAATGTTCTTCTTGGGGCATTTTGGACAGTGTGTCAGCCAGTAGTATGCTACTGGTATGGTAACTAGTATCTCAGATAATAAACTTATCAAAAGACAGGATCATTTGGACACATGGTCTCAGAGATTTCCATCTGTGGTCATTGGGCCTTGTATTTTTTGGAATTGAGGCTAGGCAAAACAACACGGGAAGAGCAGATAGTGGGGGGAGTTGTCCATATCAAAGAAACCAGGGAGCAAAAGGGGAAGAAAAGGGAAAAAGGTTTTCTAGGCACATGCTCCAATGACCTAACTTTCTGTAACCCGGTGCCATATTCTAATGGCTCCACCAGCTTCCCAGTCACATCGTGCAGTGGAATGAAGCCGCTAACACAAACGTCTTTGGGGGAGATGTTTTCAATCCAAAAGATAGCAGATAGTTTGACAATAATAAAATATGGAGTGTGGTGGAGGAGCTGAATTGGAGGCTTTAGCTGATTTTAATGACAAGAACAGTATACCATAGAAGAGAATGCAGATCTTGTTCTGCAAGGTTTTATTTTAGCAGAAAATTGACTGTCTTCAGCAGGATATTATTAGCTTGAGACACGTGCTGGTTACCAAGCATTCATGTGTATTGGTCTACGGTGTTCAGTTTCCCATCAGAACAAATGAAGGAAAGGGCCGGGCTGGCTCAGGGGATCTGCACTCTCATAAGATCTCAGAGATCCACCAGTGCACCAACATGAGAATCGTAGTTACATAAGCCAAGCTGACAGGAGTTATCATTGGTGCTCTAGAATAGCAAACAAGACACAGAAGTGCTACAACTGGTGAGAAATTTCCATAGCGCTGAGCTTTTTACAATGTAAGAGCTTCACTGAGTTTGAATATCTGCATCACAGGACTCACTTATGTAAAGTGTAGAGTGGCTGTTTTTCAGAATTGTGCCATTATCACTATCCTAAGAAAAATACCATACTCATAAGCAGTGGCTCTCCATCTTCTCCCTCGTCATTGATAACCACCAATCAAATCTCAGAAACTGT